TTTCTTCTAAGTTGAGTTGACCCTTTGATGAGTAGTATTGAAAGCATGCAAATATTCATTGCATTTGCTCTTCTATCTTCTTAGTTCACTGTAGGATGAGATGCTATTGATGTCACACCCAATTCCCCTTATCCCAGCCTGGAATGTGGCCTGCAGAAGGTTCTCTGTGTCTCTTCACCTGAAGCCCTTTCTTGGCTATGGAAGCATGTTCAGGCTAGGTCCAACAAGTAGTTAACATCTCAGGGGTAACCCTCATCTTGATAACTGAAGGCCTGGTGGATGCATTCCCAGCTTCCTCACTTCTCAGTGGGATTCAGTGCGGTGGTCCACAGTGATAACCTGCTCATTAACACACTTTTTATCTGCTTTCTTCCCTTTCCTGTTTCATGCCTCCGTACCCTCACCCTACTCTCTGGGATCACCTCCCCACTTCAACCAAGATCCGTGCCTCAGGGATTTGCTTTTGGGGAAGCCGAAATAAAACATCTGGTGCCAGAAATGGCCCTAGAAAGTAGTCTCAGGATGAGACACTGGACTTGATGCTAGCCAGATGACAACAGGATCCCACTGCTGGTAGTAAGTGTAGTGGTGATAAGCCCTGTCACACTACTGGGTCAGTTACCTACACTCTCACCTGGGTATGGACTGGAATGAAAGAAGAGAAGACAGGCTCTGATTAGCCAATTATTACCTGAAGAGATGCCCTGACAACTAGAAAGCCCCCAGGTCTCTATTTAAAAGAACCCACATCTCCTATGTGCAGAAGCCAGAATGTACTGAGAATCCAGCCCATAATTGGATTACAATGGTGGTGCACATACTAAGGAGACCAAATTCACATGCCCAGAAAGTCTCCTTTGCTTAAGTCAGGGCCCTGATTGGGAAGGAGTGTGACTCTGAGATATGTGGGGCCCATTTGGGCAAATGCCCTCAACAACCTTGATACCCCAGATTCTTCTGAACCCTTGGGTCTAGCAGAAGTGGCTCACTCCCCTTTGCTAGAGGAGAGTAGCCTCCTATCACCTGGAAGCCATTCCAAGTCCTCTCTTGAAAGGAGACTGGCAAGATAACCTTGGTCTTCCTCAAGATCTGTCCCTACTTCCACTCCAATAAACAGGGCTGAATACCAACATGACCTATGCAGAGAAATATTATCCTGCTTTGAGCAGAAATGGATTATTCCCCCAAAAGAACAGAACCTGGACTGGCAGAAACTGGAAGAACATGTATGGTTATGGATCTTGAGGATGCTGGCCTAGTGGGAAGTAGAAAAGAAGTTGGATAAAGAAGAGTTTATTGACATAGAGACAGGCTTCTGTGACTCAGGATTTGGCATGTAAGAACACATGGAGCCAGTCCTAATACACTGCTGCAATGGGCCTTGGTGATTGAGGATGATGGTATGCCAAAAATGAGGTGGAGATTCCACAACTGCTTAACAAGAGTGCTGAGGAGGGGTCAGAAGGCTCAGAGGGATGACATGCTAGAATGGATATAAGGCAAGAGAGCCCACCCATGGGCAGGGGTATTCCCTTCACTGAAACAATGAAGACTGCACTGGTAAGGGGACATTAGCATTGTTGAGAAGCTCAGTGGTGGCTGTCTTCTGTTGGCTAGAATGGACAATAGACGATCCTGGCACGTAACTGGGCTTCCTATCATAGGAAGGATTCCAGAACAAAAAAACTAATGTCTGCACTCAGACATTAGAGGAATAAAATGAATACAGTAACCTAATGGGCCGCAAGGCCAGAACAACAACCAGGGAGCCAAGGACAAGTGGCTAAGAGATTATGGTGCTCCTAGAGGTGAGATGAATGGGCAGTCAACGAAGTTACTGTTATAAAATCAAGCCAACTAACCAAACAGCTGATGAGTAAAAGACTGATGTCAGCCACCACAGTGGAAAATCCTGATCTCTTATAGTTACCAGATCCAGTCAGTTCTCAGTTCCAGAGCCCATGGATTGAAGGAGAGGCTGGGTGTCCTGAGGAGGAGCCCTGGAGCACTATAGCAATCTTACACAATACATACTCTCTCAAATCTTTCCCAAAGAGCCCCATGGCCATTTCTCAGAGTAACTGTACACTGAGAAAGTAGAATATACACATCTTTCAAGAACTACTGAACACAGGGCCTGAGTGATATACCCAGAGGATCTAAAGCACCATCAGAGCCCTCATGTTAGAGTGGGACATATAGGATAGGCAATCTATAAAGTTCTGACCCAAGGCCATCTCAGGGTAGATCCAATAGGCCTGTGGGTCAATCCCCTGATCTCCCTTGCTTCTGAGAGGATAAATGGGATGAGTGTACTTAACTGAGAGACCCCAAAATTGGTTTCTTGACCTGAGGGATAAGAGCCATAATGGTAGAAAAGGCTTATTTAATGATCGAAAATGCTCTCTCCATCCCACCCCCTCCCCACTCCTGGTCAAAATCAGAGGCAACACCATATCCCAGGAGTATTGACAGTGGTCCCCACAATATCCCATTTAATGGCTCCTGCAAAGCAAAACAGAGCAAAACACAGATAGATGGTGGAAGATGACAGTGGACTAACAGAAACCAAGAATTGGCAGAAGTAGCTCCAATGGCAGCTGCTGTGCTGGATGTAGTATCCCTTCAAGTCAGCACTTGTGTGAGGCTGGAGATCTGGTTAATGAATTCTTTTAAATCCCCTTCAGAAAAGAGAATCAAGAACAGGTTGAATTCACCTGGGTCAGATAACACAGTGTACATTCACAGTTTTGCTCCAGGAGCATATAAACCCTCCTGTTCTGTTACAGAACAGTCCAAAGAAGTCCTTGATCATCGTGACATTCTGCAGAACATCATCCTGGTCCAATACTTTGATGACAAAATGTTAGCTGGACTTGGTGAACAGGAATGAACTGGCAAATAATCTGAGTGTTCCTTATGACACATGCACCAGAGAGAAGGAAGTAATTCCTACAAAAATTCAGAGGCCAGATGTCCAGCAATCTAGGGAATACTGGGACATCCTGCCAAGTCAAGAACCAGTTACTGCATTTTGTACCTTCTACTACTAAGAGAGGCAAGCACTAGGGAGTATTATCTGGATTCTGAAGTCAGCATGTACAACACTTAGGAATATTGCTCTGACCATTTCTTGGGTCACTCAGACGGCTGCAAGTTTTGAGTACACAGTCAGGAGGGCTTTGTACCTCTCTATGGTTCAGGCTGTAGTGTAGCGGTACCTCTTAGTGATATGTGGGGTAACAATAAATGGGGCATTTCAAACTACAGCAGGACAGGGGCAAAATGATCAGACATCTAAGAAAGGAAAGTCTAGGTCGTCTCATGACGCCAGCCATGCTGACCAGCAAAAGTGCTGGTTGAGGGTGAGAGGAATCTAGAATTAGAAGAGGGAGATAATAAATGTTAATTACGGCTTCAGGACCAATACGCAACACAGAGGACTACACCCTGTCCCACTAACCTTTTAGTTGATGTTTTCCTTTTTGTATTCTTTGTTTTAAAAATATTGTGACCTGCCATTATCCTCGAGAGAAAGTGAACTTAACATGGGACACCAGGTGGTATAGTAGAGCGGGGTGGATGACTGGAGATGCTGGTGGTTACTTCAACATATCCCCTTCATTTATTCCCAGAGGTTTTCTTTTTTTTTAAATTGAGATATAACTCACATATAAAACTTATCATTTTAAAGTATACAATTCGGTGATCTTTAGCACAGTCGCAAAGTTGTACATCTATTACCACTATCTAATTCCAGAACATTTCATCCCCTCAAAATGAAATGCAGGACCCATTAACAGTCACTCCCCATCTACTCCCGAGTTTGCAAGCAGACAGTTCCCATGCTTGGCTTCTGGAGTCTCTGCCTGAGAGCATTCTCTGGTTATGAGGGTGAACTTGGTCCACATCCAGGCAGGCTGGACATCGCAAGGAATTAATACCTCAGAATCGACCCTCAACCAGTGAGGGATGGAAAGTGGTGGATAATATTCCCAGCTACTTTGTCCTTCAGTGCAATAATTCAGAGATGTTTTCCATACCATGTCTCAGAGGGTCCCCAGCAGGATTGGGTCTCAGTTGTTCATGGTGGTGACTCTTTCGATCTGTCTCAGTTCCTCAGTCTTCTGCAGGATTTCCTGAAATCACTTCCCAAATAAACTACCTGCACCCAAATCCTTGGGAAAACCTACCTAAGATTCTTTTCAAGAAGACTATCATGAGGTCTTTGTCAAGAACCTTGCCGAAATTCTGACATACTATATACCTCTCATGCTTTTAAAAAGACAAATGAGGCCAGGCGTGGTGGCTCACGCCTGTAATCCCAGCACTTTGGGAGGCTGAGGTGGGCAGATCACGAGGTCAGGAGATTGAAACCATCCTGGCTAACATGGTGAAACCCCGTCTCTACTAAAAATACAAAAAAATTAGCTGGGCGTGGTGGCGGGTGCCTGTAGTCCCAGCTACTCGGGTGGCTGAGGCAGGAGAATGGCTTGAACCCGGGAGGTGAAGCTTGTAGTGAGCCGAGATCACGCCACTGCACTCGAGCCTGGGCAACAGAGCAAGACTCTGTCTCAAAAAAAAAAAAAAAGACAAATTAGTTTAGTCTGCCATATGTGATTTTTTTTTTTTGAGACAGGGTCTCACTCTGTCACCCAAGCCTGGAGTGTAGTGATGTGATCATATGCTGCCATGCCCAGCTAATTTTAAAATTTTTTGTAGAGATGGGGTCTTGCGATATTGGCCAGGCTGGTTTTGACCTACTGGCCTCAAGCAATCTCCCTGCCTGGAACTCCCAAAGCGCTGTAATTACAGTCATGAGACACTGCAACTGGCCCTGCCATACCTGATTTCTTACTAGGGAGATCCATGCTGGCTCCTGGTGGTTGTTTCTTTTCCAAGTGCTCATGAAAATCCATTTAATAAGCTATTAGTTAATTTGACAGTAAGCCCATTGCTATTTTACAAAACTATACAGGATTTTCTAAGTTCCATTTTGCTTTGTCTAACAGTGGTTTTTCAATCTGTAAAAGTTAAAGGATGTATTATAGGTAAAAAAGAGAGGAAGTTATACTTCATATAATGTAAGAGATTGACTACTCTTCATCAATTCATGTTCTACAATAAGCAATGACAGCGACACGCTTACTTGATGGAGGAGCTGATGACACAATGCAAAAGACACCACAGCCCCCTACAAAAGCCTCCAAATCAGTTGTCACCAACCCACTCACCTCTATTCTCTTCAAGACAGAGGTTATTACCTTTAAGTATAATATTTCCCCTTTTTCCTAAGCAGTTTTGAAAATGGTTTGGTCAAAATATTCTTGTCTAAATACTACTGTTTTGTCTAAATGTGAAATATCATTTTGCTGAAATAGCTTTGCTTTCTGGAAGACTGGCTTACATGACCATTTACGTTTTGAATATCTAGTGGCAAAGCTTTGGAACACAGGCATTTACACATAAGCAGAGGGAAATCATTAATGCCAAATTTTTGCAACCAGTATATATCTAAAAGCACCAAGGGCTTAAAATTTAAGCATCTCTATAAATCTCTTTCAGTTAATCAGAATGGAAATAATTAACAGCAAAGGCTTTAGCAAATAAGATTACACAGTCAAGGTAGGGCAGTATTTTTCTTATGCTGAGTTTTATAAGACATAAGCAAATGATCATTTAAACATTTATTTAATATAGGTTAAAAATGTAATACATAAAAGAGAAAAAATGAACACTAAAATGTCAAACAGAAGAAAACCCTTTACATTTTATTTTGGTCAACAAAAAGTCTGTGCATAACTCAGCAGCAGGCCTGAATTATATTAAACCAAAGCTGCATTGTGATGGCCACCAATGTACAGACTGCCTGTCTGGCTTAGCACATTAAAAGTCTAATCAAGGCTCAAACCAACATCCTTAGAAATTCCATATATATATATATATATATATATATATGAAAAAGGCTTTCTTTCTCAGTTAAATGGGATAAATCTTAAAGTTGGAAAACTATTAAAAACAATAAAAATTTAAAACTGTAATTTTGCTAAGGGTATAGAGTAAATAACAACAATAACAACAACAAAAATGACAAACCAGAAACACTAAAATGTGTTTGCATGTGGAAGAATCATCATGTTGATTTACATCAAAGAACATCATATTTGTTTATCTTAATGCTTGGCATAGTTAGGTTTTAAGGTTTTAAAAATATTTTTGAATTTATTATTAAACGATAGGAACATACTGTACAGAATATTTCAAAATTGCTATCAAGAAAACGAGTACAAATTTTACCTAGCAATATAGATTTCTTATCAACATATCTTTTTTCCTCACTGGTATCAAACTGACAAAGGTGTAGGGAGAAAGTAACTGAATGGTTTCTGAAGGACACACTAGCCCTTTAGCCAAGAGTTCTGCTTCTGAATTATATAGAACATCTTGGTCCACAGACAACGGAATGGATTTTTGGAGAGAGTGTCAATTTAGGGCTAAAGAAATACAGGGTGAGAATGAAGCCCTCAACAAAAGCTCCAAAAGGGCACAGACACTGGTAAATGACCTAAACATGGAGAGAGAGGTGAGGAGAAAATACATAGTAAATGCTGGCTTGTTATTGCATTTTCTTCTCTCCCTTCTCTGATCCATTCATCTTCTTAAGACTGCCTTCTGTGTCCTTTTGCAGGGAAATTATCTTACCCTTTAACATTTGTTTCTTCACTATTTTAACAAAAAGCCTATAAGAAAAATAATAAATTCAAGGGTATTACTAAAAGCCTGAATAAAAATAATAACAAGCGCTATGCTCCAATCAGTAAACTCGTTTCTTGGAATAAAATCTTCATTTGTGGAAGTGGAATGATGTCTCTTAGTAGACAGTGTTCATTTAGGGTGTGATACTCTTACTTTTAGAAGCAGGAAAAATTACTAAATATTAATATGTGAAAAGTAAGGACTTTCCTTCTGAGGGATTATTGCTTTATGGACTTGACTTTGTTTCTCCTTACAGTATGTCACTGCCTTACACAACTGTGGATATGATGCCCAGTTTCTAATGATTTGTCCAAAATCGTCTGAGAAAACCAGGCCAATACAAATACAGTAAAACCTCTTGAAAACACAATTAATTATTATAGATCCACATAAATAAAGTCCAATCTGAAGTCTGACAGGTGATTTTATGTTGACTATGTCTTTTAAAAAGTGTTCTTTTTTAACATAAAATGTAAAATAACATTCTGGAAACAAGTATAAATATTACATTTATTCTGAGTCCAGATACTTTCTGAACTGTAGAAGTGCAGGATGGACTTGACTTATCCATTAGTAATACAGACTCACGAAATGTTATGCTGCAAAAAACGCTGAATCTCCTCTGATAAATGGTCTTTAAGATGGAGAGACTGAGGAAGTTAACTGAATGTTCATGTTCACTGCTGTAAATTTTCCTTATAATTGGTAAACGCTACCCATAATAGATAGAATTCACATTTTCAATGAATTCATAGTTTATCATCAGATACAGTAAATGAATTAAGATTTCATTTTTAAAAATAAAGAGACATATTTATTTGTAATAACTATCTTTTTTTTGGTAATAACTATCTTTAATAATGCTATTATTTATTTTTACCCATGGGGAATGCATAAGTACAAACACTGTTAGCTTCTTTAACATTTATTAAAAAGGTAGACTCTTAATGCAGAAGGATAAGCCTCTTTCTTCCCACTCTAAAAATCTCTTCTTTGCTGTAAAGAATTCTCGGTGCATGCGAGCTAAGACTCTGGAGCACTCAGTAGAGAGGCATGTGGGATAACCAGACAGAATCACTAGGTTTTCTCTGTTTTCAATTAGCTGAAAATAGGAGCTCTAGTTCTAAATATTAGAAGTCTAAATATTAGAAAAATAAGGAGAGGGGATATGACAAAATGCTTCAAAATACATGCCTGAGGTGAGACTGCTTGTATGTTTGTGTGTGGCAGCTTCCAGATGAAATCTTCAGTTTTAATCTTCAGGTTCATATCTGGAGATATAAATTAAGAACACAACGTCAGGATACCTTTTGTTGTTGTTATTACCAAATAAGTTTACTTGAAGCAGTGGCACTGTATTTCTCACTTCAAATTACTGCTATGATAGAAGTTGGACATATTCAACTTTGTTTTGATGGTGACTCAGAGGGGATTTTTACATCAGGTAGGAGGATAGGCCAGATCACTGCTAAGACTCCAAGTCTCTACATTTGGCATTTAGACCTGCGATAACTTCGTATAATTACCTCAATCATCATATTGACAAGAATAGTTGATATGACTATATGAGTAAAGGTCTAGCAAATCTACTTCTCTAGGACAAATCTCACCTTGAATTCCCTTTCTAGCTCTGCTCCCCTGGAACTCTGATAAAGGTAAATGTCAACTCAGTTTCCAGGCAAAACATCTGATGACCACATCTGGACCTGGAGGACTATGAATAACTATAAATACGTGGTAGGAGCCACCCCTTTAGGTTTCCTCCTGTGCGTTAAGTTCTTTTAACTGGACATACCCTTAACTGGGCATCATGTGACTGCTACAAGAGATGCTAAGCCTATGTAGAACACGGACTTCTAAGCTGGCTATGACACCCATCTGCAAAAATCTCACTCTCTACCAACTTAAACTGTCACTTAGGGGAACAGTAAGACCAGTTCTTGGACTGCTTAGAGTATACCACTGAGGAGAAGAGAACTGCCTAATACTGCCCTGTGAGCTTGCTGTGTTTCCTGTCTGACATCCTGCTAAGTGGATCCATTGCCAAGAGGAGCTTACTGTAGGCCTGTGTGAGTCTAAAGGCCTAGATGAACCTGAAAAGAAGCCCTGGTGGGCATTATAGATAAGGTCAGGCTGGAGCTCCTCCAGTTTCCGTAAATGAAGGCTTCTGGACTAAATGATCCAGCAACTACCACCAGCTTGACTTCTCTGGAACAAGCTTAGATTTAACAGAGAACAAACATCAATCCAGAGAGAGAAATCCAAGGTGGGATCAGTGTGGCTTACTGTGCCAGTCTTTTCCTCAGATCTTTGATTTGGTCATTCTTCTTGGTAAGAATCTCTTTCATGTTTCGATAAGCTGCTGTTTGCTGAAATTTCTTTTCCAATTCCTGCTTAGTAAAAAATGTCAGCCCATTACTAAAAAAACAGTTAAGGAAAGAGATAACAAATGTGATAAAAATATGTAGTTTTTTTTGCTTGAATTTTACTAATATTTTGCTAATGATTTTCTAATTTCCTTAAAAGACACATTTATATAAAATTAAGACTACCCAAAGTTTAAAAATATATTCTTTCAAATGAGAAGCCATAAAATAGTAACATTTTCCCAAGTACAGTGTTGGTAAATAACTCAAGGCCTGGATATGAGAAATCTATTTGAAACATTACACTAATTTTCCAGTAAAATAAGCACACTTTTTTCCCAAGTCCCAAAGTACTGTATTTTAGCAAAAGGATTTTTAATTTAAATTTTAGTTCCCATATTCTTTTTTCCATTTTTTATATGAACAAATTTTTAATTTCTTTATAGAGAAATTGCTATGTTGGCTAGGCTGGTCTCAAATTCCTGGCCTCAAGCAATCCTCCCATCTTGGCCTCCCAAAGTGCTGGGATTACAGGCATATTCTTAAGAGTCTAATCCCCAAAGTGAAGAATCTAGCTCTACATATTTTATATAAATTACGACGAAAGTATACAAATCCTTAAAAAAAAACCAGTCCCCCATCCCTCTGCAGGCTGTGGGAAGAAGGAGCAGAAGAGCAACACGGTTGGATGTAGGGCAGGATTCAAGCCACCTACAGAGGAGCATTTCACCACGCCATAGAGGGAGAGGAGATATCTTATTATCACAGATATTTTAGTACCAAAGATGGAAGAATATCAGTGCCTGGAAATGATTAATCTTTAGAACATATTGGCTAATATCTTGAGAAAAAATAATCTGAATTTGCAGCTGTCCAATGTTTACCTTAGTCACATGTATTCCTCTCTACTGTGTGCATCAGTTAATTGGACATGAACAGACAAATCCCTTAAACATGGTCTTCTGACCTTTTCAGCCATGTGCAGCTGCTCTTGAACCCTGAGTAGGTCGTGCTTGGCTGTTGCCAGATTCTCCTCCAGTGACTTCTGGTTTTCTGTCTTGTCATTAAGTGTCTTCTGAAACTCACTCTTTAAAGCAGCGACAGTGTTTTCCAAGTTACTCAAGTCTTGGGCCTTTATAAAATCCTATGAAAAATAAATGCATGCATGTAATTTCATGTTGATATTCTAAAAATAACTATTTTAGAATGGTGATTCAACATCGAAGGAGATGAAAAAAATGCTCTATGTTGTGTGTGCATGTCAGCCCCCCTTGCCAGCCTAGAGCCTAGGTAAGTGCCAGCCCCTGCAGAGTCACCAGCAGGCCAGTCCACTGTCAGCCCCGGGTGTGTGGTGTCTTGCACACAGCTGACACTCAGTAGCCACTGAATTCCAAATACATAAAATATGATGTGTGAACTGCTGGTATTTCAATCCAAGATGTGTGTACCAGGGTTGAGATGGCAAATAGGTTTCATTTTGAAAAGCCAAGTTTAAAAAAATCCTTAAAGAAGTCTGAATTCTAAAAAATGATAGAATATAATTTATACCAAAAACTTAATAGACATACGTTTTAGTCATTATTTACAAGAAAATAATATGACAGCCCAATTACTGATTACATGATTTTCTAAATTTTTAAGATTTTAAGTTTTTTATATTAATATGTACATTTTTGCATACTTTTGACAACTACAGCATAAGACAAGCACTGGATCTTCTCTCTTCCCGGATCTTGTTTTTGACTGGGTAAGATTCACGACAGAAAAAACATTTGTATTGATAAGACAGTAAAATCATCTACAATTGGTTAATATGTGGACGAAGAAATACTTAGTACTTTCGGCCAGGAGCAGTAGCTCATGCCTGTAATTCCAATACTTTAGGAGGCCAAGGGAGGAGGACTGCTTGAGCCCAGGAAATTGAGACCAGCCTGTGCAACAAAGCAAGACCCCATCTCTACAAAAAATATAAAAAATTAGCTAGGCATGGTGGCACATGCCTGTGGTCCCAACCACTTGGGAGGATGAGGGGGAGGATCGCTTGAGCCTGTGAGGTCAAGGTTGTAGTGAGCCATGGTTGCACCACCACACTCCAGCCTGGGTGACAGAATAAGGCCCTATCTCCAAAAAAAAAAAGTACTTCAACAAAAGAAAAAAAAAATCTTTCCTCATTTTCGAAACCTGGTCTTTGAAAAAAAGATTTTATTTCATTGCAACTAATAAAAGCATGTATTCACTGGTTGTTCTTGTGTCCAAAATCTTATAGTAAAATTGGAGCAAAGCCCCAAAAAGCTTTTAAACAAATTCATCATCCAAATGTGTTTGCAATTGTTTGACTTATGAGGAATTATAAAGCTGTTCTGGAACATTCGTGTTTTTATAAATCTATTGTCCTTGGCATATAATGGTTGAAAATCATTAGCTATATAAGAAGTATCTTCCTATTTTAAAAATATCTACAGATAAAATAGTTCAATGTCTGAGATTTGCTTCAAAAAATCATGGCAGGTGGGAAGAAGAAAGAGGTACAAATGAAACCAGACTGGCCATGCATTGGTAACCGCTAAATAGAATGATGAGTGCATGGGGGTTCACGATACTATTCTCTCTACTTTTGCGTATGTTTGAAATTTTTCAGAGAAAAGATTAGCAAAAGCCCAGTGAAGCAGATTTTGAGATTGTTTACCAGACATTTGCAATGAGAGTATGACCACTAGAAAAGCCAGTGCTGCACTGAATATTTACCCAAATGGTCCTGCTCATAGGAAATCATACTGTAGCATGCACACTCAACAGAAAGGCCACAGGAGACACTGTACATACAATGACTTCCCGCAGGCAGAGTGACATTCAGTCATTACATTCAGACAAGCGTGAAGAACTACAACACTGGATTTCATTGTACTCTATATTGCCGGTGGGTACAGATGCATCTGCAGATTCATAATCATTTTGTCACATTCATCAAAGGCAAACTTAAGTAATGTTCAGTATAATAAAACCCAAATATAAACCAATTAAAAACTTTTCTTCATTTCCTTTCCCCTCCACTGTAATTGGATGTCAACGTGAAAGGGGAAAACTTAAAAAAAGAATAAAAAAAGAATATCATGTAGGCCAAGAAAATTGCAGGAAATGGCGAGGACATCTTGCATGCCAGGGAAACTGCAGATGTGTGAGCTATGTACTGTCCCCTCTGCCCTGGAGGATACAGAGGGAAGGCCACTGGTTCTCACCAGGCCTTTCGGGGGCAAGGATGTCCCAACACAGGAAAATAGAGGCATTCGTCTCAGGGAGTGGCAAGGGGTGGGCTACAGTGAGCAGTAACTAAGACTTAATTTTAAGTTTATAACTTCATTCTACTTAGAAAATGTGAAAAAGATAGCTGAAACTTGTTTCACCTTTTGATTTCCTTGATCAAGCTGTAAATCTTGCAGTGTTTTTTCTAGTTTTGACTTTTCATCCAGTGCACTTGTAGCCTATAGTGAAGTTTAAACAAAACACTTTCAGTATTTAGTCTGTAGGCAGTTCAATAATTGTGTCAAAACATTTCTCAGTTACCTGTATTTCAATGGTCTTCAACCTTGACTTCAATTTCTCATTCTCTTCTTGAAGTCTTAAAATTTCCTTGTGAGTAAATTCAAGTTTTATTATATCAACCAAAATATTTTAATATTTGAAATTATTACTTGTTTCACTTAAAAATCTAATTTTAAAATTTAATTTAAATTACATAATAGCTCAAAAATGCACTACTGATATTTTGGTAATATCCCAATTTCATCCAGCCTATCAGCCTCACTATCTGTGAGTCAGCTTTGGCTCTAAGACATCTAGTTTCTTTTCTTTCAGTTTCTCAGACACATCTTTCCTCTTTTAGTCCTCTGTTTTCAAGTCTTTTCCAAAGACCCCCTTCCCTGCTATCTCTCTCCCAGTTGGTCCTGCAAATCCTGGGTCTATTCTCTGCCTACACTGCACACTGTTGACCCTTATCCTGAGAACTCCATCATTTCAATACCATGCCCAAGCCCACAGATGCTTCTGACTGAGTTGAGGCCAACACCTTTGCTCTTATACAGCTCAAACATTCGAATCACCTGTGTTATTTTTCACTAGGCTCCAATAAACACATCAGCCCAGACAGCACTGCACTCTGTTCCAAGTCATGCTGCCTCCTACCTGACCACTGCCTGTTCTGTCCTCCTGCCCAACACACTCATTTCTCCTTCCTCTACAATTTAATTGTTCTCCTGCCCAACACACTCATTTCTCCTTCCTCTACAATTTAATTGGTCTTCACCCTTCAAGGCCCAGCTTAGGTATTCCCTTAGCCAAGAGTCTGTTCTCACCTACTCTCATCCGCATACAACTGAATCTTCTCTGCTACCCAGTGTGACACCTGTAGCACACAGGAGAGGATTCTCTGGTCTCTATTTCTAGAACATCGGTTCTACTTTCCCAATAAAACTATTACATTTTTGGCCAGGCGCAGTGGCTCATGCCTGTAATCCCAGCACTTTGGGAGGTTGAGACAGGCGGATCACAAGGTCAGGAGATTGAGACCATCCTGGCTAACACGGTGAAACCCCATCTCTACTAAAATACAAAAAATTAGCCAGGCATGGTGGTGGGTGCTACTTGGAGGCTGAGGCAGAAGAATGGCGTGAATGTGGGAGGCAGAGCTTGCAGTAAGCCTAGATTGCACCACTGCACTCCAGCCTGGGTGACGGAACAAGACTCTCGCAAACAAACAAAAAAAAAAATTACATTTTTGAGGGCAAGGGAGCATGTATTACACCGCTTTTTATCTCCAATAACATCTAGCGTAATGTTGAGAATACAAGGGTCATGCAAAATAGCTGAAATCTGAAATGCTTCAAAATCAGAAACTTTCTGAGTGCTGACATGATACTCAAAGAAAATGCTCATTGGAGCATTTCAGATTTCAGATTTTTGGATTTGGGATGCTCAACTAGGGTCTGTATAATGCAAATATTAAAAAATCTGAAATCCAAAACACTTCTGGTCCCAAGGATAAGGGATACTCAACCTGTGCTGATAATTTTGTTTGTTTGTTTGAGATGGAGTCTCACTCTATCGCCCAGGCTGGAGTGCAGTGGTGTGATCTCAGCTCACTGCAACCTCTGCCACCTGGGTTCAAGTAATTCTCCTGCCTCAGCCTCCCAAGTAGCTGTGACTACAGGCGCATACCACCACACCCGGCTAATTGATAAATAATTTTTAGAAACTTAAAAACCCTTCTCCTTGTTACTGTAGATCACAAACTTTAAATGTCCATCAATAAACGCTGTCCAAAATTTCATGCTCTTCACTTTACCTTGAAAAGGTGTGATCAGGAGCTACTTCAGGCTCTCTAGAAGGTTAAGTATGCCCTCTTCTGGCCCATGGGGTACCATCAAGTAAAACTACTGTAATGGACTATTTATCCTCAGAGGACCTGAATCAAACCTTCCACTTCTGTTTCTCTACCCTAGGCAATGAGAGGACAGAATTAGAGGCTTTCCATTTCTCCAAATAATAACATTACCTTGTTTAGGAGTTCTGCTGTTCCACCTTCATTAAGTGGAGCAAGTTTTGGCTTTGTGATATCTAAGATGGGCTGAAACAAAATAAAGAAACCAAACTGAAATCACCACAGAATAAAGCATGTATAATCACTGAACACTTGCACTTTGCAAGTGGAAAATACTATATATAAACATACCCATTGGGATGTCAGTTCCATAGGTGTGGAGATTTTTGTTGGTTTCATCCTTTTTTATTCCCAGTGCCTAGGATATGTCTGTCCTACAGTGCCCAACACATGTTAGAGATAAAAATAAAACCTATCTTCCCTGTATCTTTTAAAAAATATAGATAGAAGGAAAATGAGGGAAGAAAGGAGGAAAGGAAGGAGCTCAAAGCCAGATCTGATATAGAGCCTAGCATCTAGGAACTAGAATTTTAACTTGTGGGAGTTGAAACAGTGATTTCTACATGAACCTTAGACTCTGTGAAAAACAATAATATTGATGAAGATCTAGGCAAGTATACTACAGATAAACAATAACTTGGCACAAACAATACAGTAGTTTAGTAATATGTATTAAAAATAAAATAATTCATGCCCTCTGATCCAGAAATTTCTTAGCCAGAAATATGACCCAAAGGAATAACAGGAAAGTGTTTTGCATGTGTATGTACATAGATTCATCTCAGCGTATTTACCCAACAATGGAGTATTTACGGTGTGTCTGTGAAATGAATGGTAAACGGTCACTCCAATTAATGAGAAGGATTAGAAAGAGAAGTAGATAACTACTAGTATTGTCTCCCTTTGTCAGATGAGTAAAATGAAGCTCAGCTACCTCAGATAACCTGCTCAAGGTAACACAGCCAGGAAGTCAGTGCCAGGATGTGTACCCATGTGTGGCTGACCCTAGATAGAGCCTGTGCTCTGCATCTTCTGAGTAGAGTATTTATAAGTGGGATTGAGACTGAACTCAGGGATTACGTGTATGTGTAGGCCATCACAGACAAGAGCAGTTTTTCATAGTTACTTCCACAACATTTTTTCTTTTGCCTGAAAATATGAGAGACAATTTTTGAATTTTACTCTTGAATTGAATGCTTTTCCTTAAGAGTTCTCAGTTTTGATCTCTGAATTCTTTGAGTGACTTGAGGATTTTAAATACTGGCTATTAAGATACGGATTTAGAATGACCAAAAAGTTACCTTTTTGTTTGAAGACGTAATCTCTGCTTTTTCAAATTCTGCAACTTGTTCTAATAATTCTCTTGAAGATGAAAGCAAAGATAAAAATTATTCATTTAAAATAGTTTTATACCACACACAAGAAGAGTAAAATCACTGGTACCAACCCATTACATGCCAGAGAGAACAGAGCAAGGTGGACCAAACTTCACCATATCCAAAATGTTAGTTGCAAATGGTTGCGAACCTAAACCGCATGGACTCAAATGTAATCATCCACAGCACCTGGCACTTTGCACCTACTAGGTATGCAATATCTACTGCTAGAAATAAACTACAATGCTAATACAAATATGAGGGAAATTTATAGTCAACTTTGTATTCTTGAGGTGCTATGAGGAGACTGTTTTATTACATAACGTGTTGTTAGTAGGTGTTCAAAAAACACAAACTGATTCTTAATAAAGTAGCCTCAGAAAAATGAAAATAGTCCATAGTAACTACTGAAAAAGAGTATCACAAATTCCTAGGAAAGACAGATAGTGGAGCTGTGCCATCTGAAGATTTGCAAAGGCCAATGAGAAGTGACTATACACAAGCTTAAAGCGTTAACAGCAGTCAGCTTCTAAGCTTCCTAAAGCGCCCCCTTCTCAGAGTTTTCTCACTAGTCACCTACTGACAGTGGCAGAAGTTCAGTGATTTTTCTCCCCTGCTCACAGGTTGTTCTCAGCATTTTTCAGCACTCTGCACGTGAACTGATGTGCTGTGACTGTGCTTAGAGTAGTTCACGGGGCTTGGTGGTCAGTCCTTCCTGATTTCTGGCATGCCTTTTCTTAAAATGAGTTTCAATTTCACCAGTTTTACCATATTTTTTGAATTTGAGCTCTTGATGTCCATATTATAAGCTTTTTTTGTATTTTATATTTCCTATTTTAAAGTTAATAAATGTATACTTTTAAATTCAATTATTTAGAAAACTTCCAATGCTACTGGATTGAATTGATGGTATTTATTGTATTTGAACTGACTTTTCAACTGCCTCATAATCTTTATTTCTTAGTTGACCAATCTATAAAGACAGATGGTAATACTGACCAAGCTAATAAAAATGCAGTAAAAAATAATTAATGATAGCCTGAAAAGCAATTTCATAAACCTCAATGGCCTTTGTAATACCTAGGAACAGTAGAAACAAAGAACTTTTAAAAGGGCGCTTAGTGGTACCCAAGAGATCACTCAGTGACTCAATGCTTTGCTGTTACCCTACCCAAATTTTCTCACACACCAGCCCCAAGAAAATATGCAGCAAAGATATTCACTAACTTTTAAGATCATGCTTGGGCCACTACTGTCACAGTTGCAAGTTCAACTTTTATTACCGGTTTTCAAGTTCAGAGATGTCTGTCTGTAGCTTAAGATACCACTTCTCAGCTTGTGCAAACAGCTGTCGCAGAAGTAACACATTGGTATAGGCAGTGTTGATGAGCTCAGATTCCACCTCGCTATGAACCACAGCTTGCAATCCATTGAGAACTTCAGAGACTTCATCTATGGTGAAGGTCTCCTCCACCAGCCTGAAAAACAACCATGATCCAAAACTTATGGATAAACAACAAAAAAAATCTACAAAATACAACAAAATTAAGAAACCCACATTCATGCAATCTAAGAAATTCAAAGATTACAGTGAAAATCTCTCTGGGAACTATCTTCTTTATTAATAAACGTTGAAAATAATTTAAACTCAATTAATTTTTGACATCTATTCAAATGATTAAATTGTGCACATCCTTTAATACAAGTAAATGCTCAAACACATTCCCCAAACCATCATCTACTTTTTTCTTTAACTTTTTAGTATTAAATGTCTTATTTCAAACTCCACTGAAATCAGTCTTATTACATTTAATAATTTCAAAAGTAACCTGGAAGGCATAGTCTTATTTCTTTCTAATATTTCTCTAGCATTTTAGTAACTGTATGAACTATTCACAGGTTAGTAAATGTCTATGGGAAATAAATGGTAATTATATATTGCTCCTCTTTGCATTCTTGAGACCCAAAATAATAATAATAATAATAATAATAATAATAATAAACTAGCTTATCTTAAAGTTCCACTGAACACTCCACAAAAATGAGTATCATCATCAACAACAGCATTAGAAATCTACTCTAAGGGCAAGGCATGGTGGCTCACACCTATAATCCCAGCACTTTGGGAGGCAGAGGCAGGTGGATCACTTGAGGTCAGGAGTTCGAGACCAACGTGGCCAACACAGCAAAAACTCTTCTCTACTAAAAATACAAAAAATTACCTGGGTATGGTGGTACGTGCCTATAATCTTAGCTACTTGGGAGGCTGAGGCAGGAGAATTGCTTGAAACCAGAAGGTGGAGGTTGCAGTGAGCCAACATTGTGCCACCGCACTCCAGCCTGGGCGACAGAGCGAGACTCCGTCTCAAAAAAAAAACAAAAAACAACTACTCTCACATAGAGAATGCTTGGGTTGGAAGAGAACTTTGGTGCCATCTTCTACAATCCCCTAACTTTACAGATAGGAACACAGGTTTGAAGAGTGGAGGTGACTTGCCTATGGTCACATTGGTGGTGATAAACCCCACAATCATCTTCAACAATGGTGCTGGGCAAAGGATTCATGCCCAACAGCTGAATCCTTGAAAAAGCTTCCGTGTGTGCCTTCTAGTTTCAATGACAGTATCACAGTAACACAGTCCTCTCCTCTCCCTACCTCTACCCTCCAAAGTCCCTTCTCCCTCAGACTCTCAGCAGATGAAGGGCAACTACCCCAACCTCAGCTTTATTTTCTTCCTACTTCCAAAAAGACATCATCAAGCAAGACCCAGTTACACTAAAGCATTATCAGAGTTAAACTTAATAGTATTTGTTTTATAATTCTTTAATGTTTCGTCTAGCCAGCAGAATTTAGTCCTTCTGAAAAAACCAGAACATTTTTTTACAAAAATCTTTATTAAAATATTAATAATCTTTCTATATTCTTTAATAGAACATATGTTCTTGCCAATTAAATTGTTGCTTTCATCTGCTGGGGGTTAGGAAACCAGATTACCAGATGAGTTTAATGGGCTGAATGGTCTAAGGCTGATGGCCTCTAATACTGACACATTCATGGTTTTATGGCAGCTGGAGCTCACTTGGAGGTCTTTTTCACTTATGTCTGACATGACATTCATCTCTTGCTAAAAATCAGCTATGGTCCAACCATTATTATCTCATGCTAGAAATCAACTAACAATTTTGGTACTAGTCAGCATTATGATTTCCTGCTGTTTTCCTCTCTCTTAATTATTCAATATGAAACACAGACGTGTTTTCTCACTAATTTCCATGTCTTAGAGCTCTAACCATTTAATTAATAACTCAAGTAATTAAAGTTCTGGAATCTTTAATACAACCAGCCAATCATTAATCCACAAACCCTTGGCAACTTCCTGACTACCCTTCTGAAGCTCTGGAATCCTGTAATTATCACATGCATTTCTGATAATAGATTCATTGCTTCCACCACGATACAACTTCTTTTGTTTCCTGTATCCATGAGGCTTAGTACAGCTGCTGTTAGCAAATAATTGATCATGATGAATCCCAGAAATTGACTGACATCTGCTATGGCACCCCCATACTGGCTACCAGAAAGAATCCATGTTCCTATTTGGTTTGCTTAGAGTCCTCCTCTGATACCTGCTCTCCTTGAGGTCTTGGAAGCAGGAATCTACAGTTTTGAGTCTCAAGCCTCTCTTTGAACGAGCAAAACGCATATAATTAATAACTTCATTTTGATGGTGCTCATTTAGGCCCAACTCTGCCTGAAAAAGAAAGAGGTAATTTAATTGTTAGTCTTGAAGAACTGATCAAAGAGCCAAAAATGAAAATGCATAAGACATTCTGTGGTCGAGACTGCTAGATCTCCATCAAATTCTATTCTTCTCTTTTTCCTGGCTGCATGGCTGCCCAGCTAGATGACACTTCTTTGCCCTCCTTGCAATTAAGTCACTGCTGGCTACTTCTCAGCAATGAATGTTGTGGTCTAGTTCCAAAGACCTGGCCTTAAGATATGGGGTGTACCTCTGCCACTCCCTGTTTCTCTGAAACCTGGAAGAGGTGGTGACTTGACTGAATCATGCAGACAACATTAATGCCCTAGAGGCTGGGGGAGCCACGAGATGAAAGGGACCCACATCTCTACCTCATGGAGAGACACTGACCCTGTCACTGAACTGAGATGAGCAGTAAGATGGCTGTTAAGTGAGAGAGAAATAAACTTCTGTATTCTTCAAGCCACTTAACCTTACAGCAAAAACTAGCAACTCTGTTATAGCAGCTTAACCCTTACCCCATTAAATACAGCTTTAACAAGTATATTTGATTTGGAAAGAACCACTAATTGGTCTGTACTTTAAACCAGATGACAGCTTGACAGATATTTAAGAGGCAAGCCCAAGGAGGTAGGGCTAGCACCCAAAGAATAGAGCAGGTCAGCAGTCAGCTAAGAGCAAGGCATCGGCCATGTTAGTTGGATTTGTAATTAAGCAGCTGATGAGCTTTACAAAGCAGTTTAGGTGGCATAAGTCTTTAAGGTCTGGAGGATAGAATGGAGACAGCAAGAGCTGAAGGGAAGCGAAAGAGAAATCTGTAAGGTAACCAAGTGCAACAGGTTACAGTCGCATATGCACCTGAGTTGTGACTAACAAGACAGATTTCTATTACGCACTAAAAGTAACTGACTACCTACATTAGAGACAATATTATCTCTGATAGTCACACATCAATATGGGCAAGAATATCCCACAATTTAGAAATATCACAAAACAATGTCACAATTTGCTAAAAACAAAGCACAAATACAGATTCTTAATCATTATTGTCTATAGTATAAATTTACACTCTTTACTCCTCAAAACCTCCCAAACTCTTTCTCTTACCCTGTTTCCCAGGATTCTACTAAATGAACACTCGACTTTAGCCACACTAGTCTGTTCATCAGTCCTGAAACATGACTTAAAATTTCCTGCCTTGACTTCCACTCATGTTACTCTGATCCTAAAGTATCTCTCTCCATTCCTATTCGAGAATCTGAATCCGACCCAGTGGTGTGATGGTAAGTATTTAACAGCAGGTTTTCTAGGTGGGGGGGCCTGATTTGTAGCATTGCTGATTTCCATGGCATAAATACTTCCATCATGGCTGATTTCAAGCCACTAATATAATGTCACTGAATGAAGAGGTGAGAAGAAATGCATAAAATTGGCTCTCAGCAGTCAGTACACACATGCTCCACCACATCACTGAATTCCTACCCACCCTTCACGGCCTAACCTGTTTCACCTACTCTGTGCCACCTCCCAATATGCCCTCAGTAACTCTATAGATATGCCTTCCTCTAAAAGCTAGCATATATAATCTCTGCTACTTCTTTGGTACGGTCATAGGCTGATTACTACCTTGTATTATTGATTATCTTTTTTTTTCAGGTTTTGCTCCTCCAAGTAGATTGTAAACTCTATGAGGGCATGAATCATTTCTTATAATGCACAACACCTAGCATAGTGCCTTGTGCCAGCAGGTGGCCAGTTCCTGTCTGTTCATTCCTTTCCCTCCTTTCAAGGAAAGTTAAGACTGTCCTAGGATCAAGAAGGAAAAATTACTCAAACTGAGAAGGGTAAATAGCAGAAAACTTCCTTTAAAATGGATTGGAATGAAGAAAGGGGGTAAAAGTGGACAGCTGAGTTCAAAAGGAAAAATAGCATCAGCCTAGGAAACGGCTATTCACAAACCTTTACTTCCACACATATATGTATCTATGTCAAACCATTAGAGAGGAAATGCAATAGGTAGATGTGTGGTATAACAGACAAAGCACTGGATTAGAAACCAGGTTTAGTTCTAGCTATGCAACTATCTACCTTGGTAACAGTCTGTTACCAAGTCACTTAACCCCAATGACATTAGTTTTACTATCTGCTAAATGAGAGGTAGATATGATGATCAGTCCTAAAATGGTTAGAAACAATGGGAGGTATCCAAGTGGGGAAGTCAGAATTTGTTTGAATTTTGTTGTAGAAATATTCTGTTAAAATAATAATAAAAAGAGCTGAAAACATATAGCAAGAAATACTGCCAGAGGATTGCCAAGCTAGTGTCTTGAAATTGTACCATAAATTGTGTATGTGTGTTTAGGCGGAAGGAGATAGAAGAGGAGTGGGTGAAGTACCAGAAATGGTTCCCTGTTCTTAACTATGCCCACAAATCCATATACAATTTAAGAGAAGTACAAGGAGGAAACTGTAATGATAAAAATGAGCATACTTTAATAATACGTATCAGATACTGAATGCTTAATATTTTCGCAGGTACTGCGCTATTTATTTTATACGCATTATCTTATCATATTAACAGCCTTGTGTAGTTATTATCTGCAATTTACTAATGAAGAACCTGAGCCTGATTCCAAAGCCTCAGTTGTTAATTGATGGAAAGGGATGACAGAAGATAGAACAGGAAGAGATATCAATTTTTTTGTGATTTGTTTTCAACGTATTCTCTTGATATTTTAGGGAAATCAGGAGAATGAGTGGAGAGGGTCTAAACTCAAGAAGGGGAGGGAACAATCCGTTTAGTTCACAGGAGTCTTCTCAGCTCCCAGACAGCGCTTGGAACACGCTGTCTAAACAGAAATTTTGGTTGCTGAGGTATTTCAGTAGCCATTTCAGGTGGTGCTCTCAACCCTGGTTTCATCCGTTTTCCTGAACACTTCAGTGCTGTGCACTGTTCTGAGTAGGACTGGTATTTAAGATGGCATGCTTATTCGCTAGAGGGATTAATGGTCTTTTTTGAGCAAGCCAAAACAAAGGAAATGTCACCCAAATTCCTCAGCTGTAAAATAGGGTTCTGGGATTCTTAAAGTCACATCCACATCAGAAAGTTGGATTTCAATCACACAGAAAGCTGGATTCGTTCTCCCTGCTCCTCTGGTTAACATGCGTGTGTGTGTGTGCGTGTGTAAACTTGGAGCTTCTTGAAATTGAGAACTCTGAGCTTGTGTTAACGTGTGTGTGTATAAACTTGGAGCTTCTTGAAATTGAGTGAGAACCCTGCGTATGTGTTAATGTGTGTGTGTGCGTAAACCTGGAGGTTCTTGAAATTGAGTGAGAACCCTGCGTATGTGTTAATGTGTGTGTGTGCGTAAACCTGGAGGTTCTTGAAATTGAGTGAGAACCCTGCCCCGCACCTTAGGCCGGCAGCAGTTTCCTCTAGTTCTCTTCACCTGCCACCTAAGACTTGACTTGGCTCCGCCCCGCCCCCAGGCAAGCGAGAGAAACGAGGCGACGCGGCTGGGCTGCTGGGAAAAGGCTTCACCCAGGATTACCCCAGAAGGGCTTGGGCTGCGGTTAACCGAACCTCTCGCGCCCGGTGCAGCCTCCCTTTCTCAGGGAGGCTGAGGAGCGGCCAGACCCAACTAGGCCACGTAATCATTCCGGGCCCACCCGCTCAGTGTCTCCAGTCCCGGCCGCGCTCTCTCCTGGGCGCGGTGCGGCTCCTGAGGGCCGGCTACTCACCATGGCGGCAGGCGGCAGGCGGCAGGCGGCAGCCTAAAGGAACGGGAGCGGCCAGGCGGGGGCCCGCCAAGTCTGGGATCGCCGAGGATAGCTGGACCACAGAACACGGGGAGGGAGGGTAGGTTGTTTAGAAGCCTCTGGTTGCTAACGGAAACCGAGGCACGTGGACTGCAATTATGCATTTTCATTGGTCCTGAGGATCACGCGACAGGAAGTATTGCGTAACCGGTTGACTGCCACGTGCGCATTGGCTTCCAGGGCCGGAAGTCCCACCTTTTTGTGCCACGTTCACCTTTGGGAGCTGAGTGCCGTTGCAGAAGGTAACCGGAGGGCTGTGCTTCCTGGAGCTACCTGGGGCCGCCACCGCGCTTGCGCGCTTCGGGGCATCGGCTTGTGGATTGTTGGGAAGTTCTCATCCAAAACTTCCTGTGGCCTAGGCGACCCCAAGGGTGCAATGGACATCCCAGACCTTTCAGTGGTCTCATAGGGCGCGGCTCAGACATATTTTTTTTCGGGAGTTCCTACCTGAGCATCAGGGTGGCTGAGACAGGCCAACAACACCAACGCCTGCAGGTTCTCAAGTAGAGCTTCAGACGACCCCTCCCTACGACTCCGCCCGTTATTATTACTGTTGTTGTTGTTGTTATTATCTTCTCTTATATTTCTAGTTAAAAGTCTCTAGCAACCTTTTCCCATTAAAAAAAAAAAATGCAAAAAGCATGGGTTTTCTCCAAGAGCAGTGAATTTCAAAAGGTTCCATATGCCTGGAACCACTATGGAAGCTTGTTGAGCAAATTCCCGGGCCTCATCTCCAGAAATTATGATTCACAAGTCTAACTTGGGTCCTTGGGATCTGCGGTTTTTAACCGATGTTCCAGGAGTGATCACAGATCAGGACCACTCTTAGAAACGCTGGCTTGGAAGGACAAGAGTAGGATGAGATCTATTATTGCAAATACCAGGGACTCAGAGTCCTTCACTCAGATGATCCAGAGGTGATGTGCAGGCATTTGCCCACAGAAGGATCTCAAGCCTTGGGTCAAGAACAGTAAGCAAGGTTCTCCTGTGTGTCACCTGGAGCACTCCAAGGCATGGAAGGATGGCCTGGAGGCAGTGGCG